AACGCTACCACTCGAATTCAGATTAATGGGAACCTGATTCCGGACTTTCTGCTGCAGCGATCGGTCCGCCAGGGCGACCCGATAGCACCATATCTTTTTGTGGTTGTGATGGAGGCCCTGACGGACAATCTTAGGGCCAACCAAAATATTAGTAGGATTCAAACATCCTTCATCCCACAGGAGGCAATACAAATATGTTCCCTATTCGCAGACGACCTCACATTGATGGTAGAAGCCTCATCACAGAATATGGGGGAAATCGAAAGGCTAATGACCCAGTTTTGCGCCCTATCTGATATGACAATTCACTGAGGCAACAAGACATTGAGATGGTGGATGCATCATGATGGTGGAAGACCTCCATAGCAACCCAAGGTGACATGACTCCCCTTTGAAACCCCCATTAGGGTCCGTGGAATCCCACTTTCGGTCGAAGGAAAGCCAATCAGTAACGATAATTGGATAATGCACCCTGCCCTGCAAAAGTTGGGAACCTGGAAAGACAAGCATGCATCGCTCATGGGCAGGGCCCTGGTTATAAACAATGTGGTATTGGCGTCAATCTAGTATAAGTCGGCAATCTGGCCCCTTTCCGGAACGGCGTCAAAGGCCCTGAAGCACAGGTGACAGCCTTCCTCTGGAGACGCAACCACAAAGCCCAACACACCATCAGTCGCGTTGCCTGGGATGCGGTGGTGCAACCAAGGTCACAAGGAGGTCTAGGCATACTTGACCCTGCTACCCAAACGGCTGCACTTTCTCTCCAATGGTTGAAACGACTTTATCTGCACCCCCGACCTCACTTGGGAACCTCTTGCTTGGGAACAATTGTCGAGGTTGGCCCCAGTGATCGCACCATCAACGCATCTCATTGTTTGGCTAGATGACGTCTTCTGGACAATCCCCAGGGCCCCCCCCAAGCCCCAACCACACTCAGGGGCCGCAGGGGCCTGCAAAAAGATGACTTCTGGGCTAATTTAATTAAGGATTTGAGGAGGCTCCCACTCCCGGATAGGCCATTTCCTGAAATGTGGGAAGAAGTTGTTTGTCAACCACTTTTCGGAAATCGCTAGATAACGGATCGGCACGGGCGGGTGTTACTCAACTCATGTCGCCCGTGGAATGGACGGGTGAAAAACATGATCACAAGAGTTGGACACCTATGAGACCAATCAAAGAATGACTGACTCTCAGAGGAGCAGCTGAGAGAGAAGTTCCCCCATTGCCACAAAATAGGGGAAAGGCTAGACCAGATCCTCTTTGCTCTCCCGCTCGCATGGGTGCAGACTCTTCGACGGGGACCAACTGTAGAGGAAGGAAACTGGGTGGTGCTAAGAGGGGATGCAACTCGGGTGGGGCAAGTACTAACAGTTAGACCGGGGGCGGTGCAGGTAAACATGTTTTATCAAACACAGTTGAATCACTTGATCACGGGGGTGTCAGATGAAGTCTTCTGGATTGACGTCAATATACTTCACAGAGTAAGAACCCTAAGTGAAAACGAGTCTTGGGTGGCATTTTGGACGGAGGTGCCAATTCAGGATCTTCCCTTGGATGTGGCGAAGTGGAGATGGAAAATTCCAACAAGGAACGGAGGACCCAAATACCGGTACCTCCATACACTAGATGTTAAAGCGACCTGCCGGATGCTCGAGACTATAATAAAACTAAGAGGTCGTATTGTTGATCGTTGGGCACGACACCTCAATGTACCATTGGAATCCCTGAGACCTATAAAATGGTTTAAAGAGGTGAAGAACAAACCAACCAAGTCTGTTTCGCTTCAATGGCAGATTCATCACCGCTGCCTACCGACAAATGCATGGCTCATTGACCATACCCACCTGGAGCAGAAAGGGTTGGCTCTCCCCTGGTGTCACACATGCAAGGAGGGTTTCCCCTCTCGAAAGATAAACGAGACGATAAAACACCTCTTCCTGCAGTGTCCTGCCTCTATCCTTACATGGCGGGGATGACTCCGGGTCTGCAACCAACTAGGTACAGATAAAGACTGACCGTGGGAATGGAGGGCCCTGCTAACTGGTCACTGGACTGCCCAATCCTCAACCTTCTCAACCAACTTATTTAGGCTTGGGAGGGAAGCAGTGCTATGGGCCATATGGCTTCGCAGATGCACTCTAGTACTTGAAAGCGCCCATGTTGGAAGTGGCGAAACAACCGAAACGATTAAAGACATTTCCCGGGTGCCACCGCATCACGTAGGGGTGACAAATTACACGATCTATCAAATCTGCGGGGTGAAAATGACCATGGGAGGAGACGAAGATGGGAGGGGGAGGATGCGAGGGGAGAAACGAGAGAAGGGGGGTGACCAGGGTTACCGCTCCTGGCGACCGCCTTGGGATTGGACTTCATCCCTTTGTGAGGGAGGTTATGCACGACGATTTCGGAAAAGTTGCAGATCTTCTTTCTCTGCGGTAGACGACCTCTCTTCCTCTTGGCCGGAATTGCATAACCGCCTCTGTTGTTGGTCGAAATCTTCATATCTTGTGCCCATGTCCTACCACGATACCTACGTAGGTGAGACTTTTTCAGGCGTGGCTTGGCACGATGGTCCTTTCATAAGTCGGATTAGGGTTGAGCTTCCCCATAAAAAGAAGAAACGCTGACCGTCTCTCGTAAGTTAGGGCGAAGGACGATCACGGATGTTCAAGGGGAGGATGGACAGGGCAAGTAATTAGGGTTGTTTGTATAGCTTTGTAAAAGAGAGGTCAGTCAATCCCCTCCTGGAGAAGGTAATCAATGTTGTCTCCTGTTGTGTATCCATTTCATTGATTCTTGTAAACTTAGCTCCTGGTGCATGTCATTAAAGGGACGCTGGACCCCATTTCCAGCAGGTGCAGCTCCCCACCAATAGATTGGAGCCATCGACCCCGCGAAGCCTGCTAGAGGAGGATGCTCTTACCAACTCCTGCTAGCAGGTGCTTTTGCACCAATGATGTTTCTTTAAAAAAAAAAAAAAAGACGTGATTGAAACAGCAATTAGAGCTCTGTGGAAAAAGATGGTACAAGGGATGAGAGCTCTCACAAAAAGATCAGACATTATTCAAAAACCAAATGAATTCTGCATGGACTGGTTGGGGGGGGAACAAGGGGGACGGATTGCATGGATTCAATGGGATGGCTGACTCTTGGATGGCAATGATCGTTTGGATAAATCACAGAAGGGCTATCGGTTGCTCTTCCATAAAACTGAAATCCCCAGCGACATCCCACTCCCCCCGGTCCCTGAGTTCCCTGATTTTTCTCCCCCATCAAACAATACCTTAGTCCAGCTGAGCTGGTATGGGGGAGATACTGTGGAGCCCGCCCATCACAATCCTGGTGGGACCTGTCAAGATCGAGAAAGGGAATAGGAGGATTTGGTGTCTGCCCCAGTCGCCCCCTGGACGCAGAACCTGCCTCCCTATCCCCCCTCACACCTGGCCGATCCACCTAAGATATGGTTGGGAGGATAGGCCCCCGTATCTACAGTACTTGTTGGAAAAAAGGGGGAGGGACTAGCATGTAGATGTGTATCTGGCGCCGGATTCAAGGTGAAGAGGTCCCCCCCCCCCCCCCCC